AGGGAAACACAGGTTGACCATGGGCAGCCTGGGTCAGCTGATCAGGGACACCATATGCACTGTTACCATCTGTTGCCAAGCAGACTAAGGGAGCACATATAGCACCCTGAGATGTATGCACAGACCCCTTCTTCCCTGCCCACCCCAAGCTGACGTGTCAGCAGTGCAAGCTCTCCGGAGCGCCTGCATTCAAATGTCTGTACATGTGGCTCAGGGTAAGTTTTTCTATCAAGATAAATGTGGGAGAACTGTCCAAGATTATTTGAATGCATGTACATAGCCTCTATGCAGCCTTCTTTAGATTCTTTTTCTAAAGAAATAGCAGGTTGCATTTTTATCTTATTCACTATTTTTTACTCCATGACCTACTGAGGTCCCTTCCAACCCCAACGTCTATGAGCCTATGAATAAATACTGATATTTTGAAGTGCCCTTTGCATTGGATATTGACATTCCCTGAAGATCATATTTTCAAATTTCATTCTGTATTTTTCTTAGATAAGTATTAATAATAAAAAGACTAAGGTGAAAAATATGTAAATATTTCCTGAAGCTTCCCAAGTAAGCTATTATTTCTAAAAATCTAGCCATCTACAGGGTGCCCCTTCTTGATGATATGCATTATGAAAACTGTTTTCTAGGTTTATAACTTAAAAAAAAAATTATTAAAAAAATTATTTCCCAGTTTCGCTGGCAGTCTAATTTTCTTCCTTGTGAGAAAAAAATATCTCCATTTGCTTCTATATTTCATTTTCTTCACTGCAAAAGCAGCATTTACTTTTGACACAAAGATTTCCAGTGAAATTAACAGTTCTGATTAATTTAGAATAAACATGGAAGGCAAGACATACGACTTTGTTATTATTCCACATTTTTGTGTAGCAAGGATCCTGAAGGTAGCCACCATCATCTGGAAAATAATTATCAGTTTAAAATACAGAAGATAAATAAGTTTAGATGGATGAAAATTGGGTACAGTAATGGCTTCTTACGACTACAGGAAAAGAAAGCAAGCACTGTATATTTAAAAATCACTGCAGTTATGAAGACATTAGGAAGAAAATTGTGAAACTCATAAAGAAACGCTTTAAAAGGTACACTTTAGTTTAAATGGAAGTTAATTCAAGTAATTCTTATTTTATGAGTATAGGTTTTCCTGTTTTAAGAGATTGCCCACAGCATGCTCAAATGTACCAGTTTCAGTTTCTGCCCCTCTGAAGATCATCCTAATTAAGCAACAAATACATGTTGGTCTCTTTGGAAACTTTTTACTGTATTTGTGTTGTATGTGTTAAGACCTTTCATTTGAACAGGAGACTTGATTCAT